AGAACAATGATCCAGATGTGATCATGCCTTAGAAATGCATTGTCTTTAATGCAAGTCAAGTGTCAGTCATGCATTATGCAGCGTTCGCAGTCTCTGGCTGTCTCGAGCATGTGCGTTTTGCATAACTCAACGCGGTACTGCATCTTCAAGCATCTTTGAGCAGCTTGTCCTCAGAGTCGGTGTCTTTAATGCAGAGTTCAAGGAGCATCTGTAAAGCAGCCACAGATCAGTTTTTGCCAAACGTTTAGCTCAGATTAGCCATTTAAAGGGCTCCACATCAAGACAGCACCGGCCAGACATATGCTGTTTTAAGAATTCATCATAGTATTTATTATTCAGGTTTGACATGCATAATTAACACTTTGTTGGAGCATATGAAGACGGACACGTCATTCAGGAGGTCTGTACTGCCGCACAGCTCAGCCGATGCTCATATTTTAATGTAACATAACAATAAATCAGAGGATTATCAAACTGTTGTATACTGATATTTGAACTTGCAGACATGCTAACAAAAAGCGTTAGTTGCGTCACAAATGACACACTATCAGTGTTCGGCAGGGTCATTTAAAAGACTAGTTAGTTCTAGTTACTAGTTACCAGTGGGGGAAAATAGGGATGCACCGATAGCACTTTTTTTGCAAACCGATACGAGTACGAGTATTTTAATTTGTGTTCTCGCCGATACCAGGGCCGGATTAGCGTAAAGCCGCTTTTCCACTGCACACGACATTTGGACACGACTTTTGGAATACGGCCCCTTGTGGCAGCTGCACAGTATTTTCAGTGTTGTCGTGCACCATGGGGGAGAAGCTGATTCTCACGGTGTCCGAAATAAAGGACTGCAAAAGCAAGAGCCTTTATTCTCTGTGCGTTTACATAGTCTAATGGATTTGTCATTTTAGCGAACACCTCAGATACTGTTGGCTGGTTCCTGTTGTTTGTGCGTCTTTTTTACCGACGCTATTATAACAACACAGATCACTGCCTATTCACGAGTCCCGCAGAAAAAGTGATTGACAGGTGGTAATTATGTGTGTAACTTGCCTTTATTCATTTACTGTATGATTTGTTTATGGGTAAAA